CTTAGGGTAAAGTTGACTTTCATGCTCCCCCTTTTTTGTGTGGCACTCTTTTTTCCTAGATGTAAAAGGTAGACTTAATAACCTTTGTACAAACATCTCTATAGAAAAGTCCCTGGTGGTTCCCCCCATAAAAGAGAAGGGATGGATCATTCTCTCCATTTGACAGATGTGGATGCTAAAGTCCAAGCAAGTTTTGCCTCAGGTCAGAAGGGAAGGGAGAGGCTGTGTCTGGACATTTTCAGCTCTTTGAGCTAGATGCCATTGTTCTGCCCCTCCAAAACAATCGAGGCCTGTGTTTGGACCACAGGAGTACCTCTGGCCTACTCAGTGAGTTTCTAGGACAAATTTGCTCTTCATTAATACCCGGAACCCTGGGAGGTTCTGAATGTAATGATTTTGTTTTCTGTGCGGGTGGGATCTCCTTCCAGGGTTCCTATTGGACAATTGACACCTGCCCTGACATTTCCCGAAAGAGAAGACACCCTCCAGATGATGATGTAAGTTCCCAGCTCATGGGGAGATGCCATATCTGAGCCAGCTGCTCCTTCCACCTCCTCTTGTGGATGTTCAGTCCTTTGAGAGGCAAAGGTGGAAGGCATACCGGCAGAGGGGAAACCATGGGTCTTGGGAGGCTGTTGTGCCTCTGCTGATAGATTGCCTTTTCTTCACAACCCTCAGCTGTCCCAGGACTCACCAGAACAGGAGGCCAGCAAGAGCCCACGGGGAGGCGTTCCAGGGAGCGGGGAAGCCTCACTGCCTCCTGAGGGGAATCCGCAGATGTCACTTCAGAGCCCCACATCTATTGCTAGCTACAGCCAGGTAGGAAGCAGATATGGCAGGGGTCATGGCATGGGTGCTGAATAGATTCAGATGTGTCCCTGTTTATTCAGAATTATGTACTGAGTATCTGTGATATATGAGGCAGATAAATTGAGAAAGAAGGGGAAAGCAGAAGAGGGAAATAGAGAGAAATAGAAAGGCACAGCAGAACTTTGAGAAAGATCAGGATGAAAAAGCTGGGCACAGTGGCTCATGCCTGTAATCTCAGCACTTTGGGAGGTCGAGGCAGGCGGATCACTTGAGTCCAGGAGCTTGAGACCAGCCTATCCAACATGCCAAAACCCCATCTCTACTAAAAATACAAAATTAGCTGGGCTCAGTGGCATGCGTCTATAGTTCCTGTTACTCAGGAGGCTGAGGCACGAGAATCACTTGAACCTGGGAGGTGGAGGTTGCTGTAAGCTGAGATCACGCCACTACACTCCAGCCTGGGCGACAGAGCAAGACCCTGCCTCAGAAACAAACAAACAAAAAGAAGAAATGGAGACTGAAGAGGGTAGATTCAAGATAAGAACCAATGAGCAAAGAAGGAGAAAATGATGCTGGGCCATTGAAGAGCTGGGCGAGGATTAAGAGGACAGGCAGGAGAGCCTGGTGACCATCGAAGCGTTTTATTGGTCCCTCAGCTGGGACACTGATCAGGAATTTCTTACCTGTTTTTGCAGGGCACAGGATCTGTGGATGGTGGAGCAGTGGCAGCAGGGTCTTCAGGTCGAGAAAGTACTGAGGGTCCCCCTCCCCTCTATAACACCAACCACGACTTTAAATTCTCCTACTCAGAGATCAACTTTCAGGATCTAAGTTGGTCCTTCCGCAACCTCTATAAGTCCATGCTGGAGAAGTCCTCTTCCTCCTCTCAGCACGGTGAGTCTGGAGTTGGGATGGGTACATGGAGACTTTTTTATCCTGTTGAACAAGTGGTGATATTTTCTTTTTTCCTTTTTTTAAATTTTTTTTTTTTTGAGACAGGGTCTCACTCTGTCGCCCAAACTGGAGTACAGTGGCACGATCTCGGCTCACTGCAACCTCCGCCTCATGAGTTCAAACGATTCTCTCACCTCAACTTCTCAAGTAGCTGGGAGTACAGGCACGTGCTACCATGCTTGGCTGATTTTTGTTTTTTTATTTTTATTTGTTTTTGAGACAGGGTCTCACTCTGTTGCCCAGGCTGGAGTGCTGTGGCGAGATCTCGGCTCACTGCAACCTCCGCCTCCCGGGTTCAAGCAATTCTCCTTCCTCAGCCTTCCGAGTAGCTCGGACTACAGGCGCACACTGCTATGCCCAGCTAATTTTTGTACTTTTAGTAGAGACAGAGTTTCGCTGTGTTGGCCAGGCTGGTCTCGAACTCCTGACCTCAGGTGATCCGCCCGCCTCAGCCTCCCAAAGTGTTGAGATTACAGGTGTGAGCCACCGTGCCCGTCTTGAGTTTTGTATTTTTAGTAGAGACAGGGTTGCAACATGTTGGCTGGGCAGGTCTCAAACTCCTGGGCTCAAGTAAGTGATCTACCCACCTCAGCCTTCCAAAGTGCTGGGGTTACAGGTGTGAGCCACTGTGCTCAGCCATATTTATTTCTTTCTTTCTTTTTTTTTTTTTTTCTGAGGCGGAGTTTCGCTTTTTTGTCGCTCAGGCTGGAGAGCAGTGTTGCAATCTCGGTCTACTGCAACCTCGGCCTGCCAGGTTCAAGCAATTCTCCTGCCTCAGCCTCCCAGTTAGGTGGGATTACAGGTTCCTGCCACCACACCCAGCTAATTTTTGTATTTTTTAGTAGAGATGGGGTTTCACCATGTTGGCCAGGCTGGTCTTGTACTCCTGACCTCAGGTGATCCACTCACCTCAGCCTCCCAAAGTGCTGGGATTACAGGCATGAGCCTGACCCGTATTTCTTATTTTTAACACAAAGAGAGGTATCTACTCAGAGGAAATATTTCATGAACTGAAACTGTTTGGAGTCAAGCGAGCTCATCTGTCCTTGTGCAAATACAGCTGTTTCGGGAGGCAAGCTAGGTTATTAGCTTCAGAAAGTGAGTTGGAGGATTGCCCCTTCCAGAACCAAGGGCAGTGATTTTAGGGGCTGCAGGCGAGTCATTTGGAGGATGACCACGAGGGGGCAGCAGCAGTACCCTCTCCCTAAGAATCCCTGCGTTTCGTTGTGAGAACAGTTTCTTTTTCCTTTTTAGTGCATTTATATTTATGTTACTTTTATTGTGAAAAATTGCAAACAGATGCAAAAGTTTGGAGAAAAATATAATAAACCCCTGTGTTCCATCGCCCAACTTTAACAGTTATCGGTATTTTATTAGGCTTGTTCTATTTACCACTGAGCCTTCTAAAAATTGGAGTAATTTAATGGAATTCACATATACCATGTCATTCCACTCCTAAATACAATTTTGATATACATCCCTAAATGATGACTTTCTTCTAGTTATCTACCATGACATTATCACTCCTAACAGAATTGATAATACATCCTTAATATCAGCTGGTATCTTGTCCATGCACATTTTCCTAATTATCATGTGAGAATGACTTAAAGTTTTTATCGGGAGGCCCCTTGAGAGAACATCTGGTTCAGCCCTCTGTAATATCTGTGTGTTCGTTTTTAAAATAACTTAGAGACAGTGGTGAGGTTGATTTCAGGTGAGGCATTGGACCTTCTCGTTCTGTGCAGTGGCCCTATGTTAGCAGCAGGGGCTAAATAGAATGATAAAACTGTTTAGTCACTTTTTGGAAAACTTATATTAATTTTCATGAATTCTTCTTGTATGTCCCAGGGGATCAATTTCTAGAGTTGTGTTCCAAGACTGTAGCATTTGCTTGAGAAATGACTCCAACTCAGGTGGATTCCATTGGTTGCTTGGAGGCGGGAACACGAGAAACCATAAAAAATAAAGTAAAACATTAGATTGGGTGAGGACAGCCTAGAGTTCACTCAAGTTTTATTGTGACTGAAAGCCCCTAGCCTCAGGCTTTTGTTCTTCCTGGCCTGTCTGCTTGAGAAATAACTGCTTGAGAAATAACTCCATCCTGTCTGCTCCGTACCCAAGCTACATTTGTTTCTAGAGGATACAGGAATTAGTTGGCAGTAGCAGAGTGTAGAGAAAATAAGGAAGAAGAGGTAATAGACGACCAATGGCTTTGTTTTATTTCTGATTTACTTTTTTTCCCCCCTAAACACTAGACGACCAGGGATGGTTTCTTTTTTAAAGTTCACCTGCTGGGAAACTGTGATTTCAGGCCTACAGCCAAATCCCTAAACAGTAGCATTAAATGCTACACGCTGACCTTTTTAGTAAGATTTCAGTGGTCTTCACACTGTCGGGGCCCTCCTCTAACCTAAGTGCCTTCCTGTCTCTTGTACCTGCCAGGAGCGCCACAGGGATCTTTGCTGCCCTAGAGTGTTCTTAACCTTTTTTTTTTGTTTGTTTGTTTTTGAGAGGGAGACTCGCTATGTCGCCAGGGCTGGAGTGCAGTGGCCGGATCTCAGCTCACTGCAAGCTCCGCCTCCTGGTTTACGCTGCCTCAGCCTCCGGAGTAGTTGGGACTACAGGCACCCGCCTAGTTTTTTGTATTTTTTTAGTAGAGACGGGCTTTCACCATGTTAGCCAGGATGGTCTCGATCTCCTGACCTCGTGATCTGCCCGTCTCGGCCTCCCAAAGTGCTGGGATTACAGG